AAGAGTTCAATGAGCTAATCGGGTGAGGGAAGTCAAAAACCTTGGGACTCACTAGTTGACAGCTAAGATGGGGTTAAGGAAGAGAACAGCATGGGATGCTGAGGGACTGATCAGTGGCACAATGGTTATATGCAGGGGCCTGAGAAAACAAGTAAATATACTGAACATAATGGTCCGCAGATTTTCTTGACATTGATACGTACTATGGAGATCCTGTAAGTTGATAATGAGAGTGGAAACTCCTATCTCCTAGTGTTGGAACTGCATGTTTGTTTGCTTAGATATACAAATACCAATTGTCTCAGTCCTCAGCAACAGACTGTCCACATCTATGGCCTTGAAGCAATGGTCTATGCCACACAGAGGCGGACTTTCTGATGCCCAGGCAATCAGGGAGGTGCCTGCCAGGGTGCCTTGGAGAAATGGCTGATCCAGAAGGGGATAAGAAGAGTCTAAGCAGGGCTGGGCACATTTGTACCAGAAATTAATGCGTCCCAGAATGGTGGGACATGCGGAAAGGACATTGGCACCAAACAAAGGGCTTCTGGTGATTAGTCTTTGATAATTTACCAATAAAATAAATTACAGGAGCAGATTATAACACACTGACTAAATAACAAGCCACACAGCATGCTGAATGCACCTAAAAAAATAATAGATAGATAGATATGTGGGCAGAAAAGTCAAAGTTCTTTGTAGTAGAATGCCACCTGTCAAAAGTGGAAAGAAGTGGAAAATCTCTCCTCGGCGGCCTGACTATTAATAATTAATTCAGGTAAGACCCATCACCAGGCTCTAAACTAGTGGGTGAGCAACAGGGAAAGGTCAAGGAATTTGCCTGTTCTTGAAGCATTTCACAAGAGGCTTATCACAAGAGCACAGGGAAGTTTACAGGGAAATAAGAAGGCTGCTCAACCCTGGAGTCATATCACAGCATCATGGGCCACGTCTAGGACGGGCCACGGAAAGGGCTACTCCATTTCACCCGTGTGGCTTCCTGGGAAACACGAATACCCTCAGTCTAGTCGTGAGAAAGTACCAGGTAAACCCAACAGGCAGGACACTTCATCAGTCACTCTCTAAAAACTGTTGAGGTCGTGGAAGGTAATGAAAGACTGGGGAAGGAAGGAACGTGGTAGCCGAGGGCAGCTTGTGTGTGTGTGTGTGTGTGTGTGTGTGTACAATCATCACTTCATACTTTCAGTTTCCATGTACTTAGATTCAACAAGCCTTATATAAAAAATATACCTTGTGTCTGTTTTGAACAAATTGAGTTTAGTTTTGTTGTCATTATCCTCTAAACAATAAACCTAACAACTCTACGGCATTTATATTTTGTTAGTTGTTATGTGGAATTTCCGGAGTGTAGGAGGATGAGTGTCCATGTTATATAAATATCGTAGCATTTTATATAAGAGACTTGACTAATTTTGATATCCTCGGGGATCCTGAAACCAATTTCCTGTCTAGATATAGATATAGGTATAGGTAGCGTTAGAGGTATAGATAGATATAGATATAGATATATAGATATGTAGATAGAGATAGAGATATAGAGAGGGAATAATGACAGGAAATAAGATGCAGTGCCAATTGGAGATCCACAAAGGGTCTGCATACAATTCTCATTACTTAAATATTAATGTGTTTTCCACACAGAAAGCAGCCGTTCAGATCACTGAAATGATTGGTTCTTCAAACCCTGTCTCCTTCTCTCAGGGTGCTTCACTAGCCCCTTGTGAGCCTGAGTTCAGGGAAAGGGGAGAGAAACGGATATGTCTCCATGGTGGGAAAATCTGAGAGAGAAGCCAGAGTGTCAGAAACTCACTCCCTGGGAAATGGTGGGGAAAGTCAGATTCTCGCTGTCACCGTGTATGCAGCTCTCTCCGGCTCTAAAACACACTGTCGCCCTTACAGTACGTGACTCTTCTCTCATCTCCCTCAGGCCACCTCCCTGCACTGCTGTCCCCTCCACTGCTGACCCTGGACAACTTCCACTCCTAACGGTGGATTTTCCACTGTGCAGAGCTCTGAGTCAGGTCTGTGAAAACATGGCCCTAAGGTCTTTGTAAGGTCTTTGTTTTTAACCAACAATGTTCAGTGCACATTTCAGTCCATTTGGAGCACCTCAAGGGAGCAGTACCGGGTACATGGATGGTGTTGTGCACTTATCACTACCATTTCCAGAACCTTTTCATCCTCCCAAGCTGAAACTCTGAACTTATTAAACACTGGCTCCCTGTTCCTCTTTCCCAGCTCACTGATTCCCTGATTCTCCATGAATTTGAACATTTTAGGTGCCTCACCTGAGCGGAACAATAGAAGACAAACAGAAGCATTCACCTGTGATGCAGTGTTTGTCAGAATTTCCTTCTTTTTCAGGGTTGAGTAATGTTCCCTGCGCGGGTGCACCACATCCAGCTTATCCACTCATCACTGATGACATTCTCTTATTCCTCTCACCTATTGGTACAAATACCCCAATGAGCATGGGTGAGAACTTTCACCAGGAGACTTGTACTGTTTACATTCCCATTGGCAGTGAGGAAGAGCTTAAAGGTTCTAACCTGTATCTTCTCCATCTCTTGCCAGCAGGCTCACACTGGAAGAGAGACCTGATGTTACTTGAAGCAACAGATCATAAGGAAATCTTTTGTATCCTCCTTCATGTAAATCCCTAGGAACCCTGGAGGAGCTGACTGCACAGTGTTGTGCTGCTGGAGGGAAACACAGGGAAGTTTTGATTGGCATCTAGAACCCCCTCACATGGATTCTACTTACATGTTCCCATGTGCATAGAAAGGTCTTCCGGATGTGTGGAGGGGACTGCAAATGACATTTTAAAGCTACATGTACCCTGGAGCACATGTGCCTCCTTGACGACATCCACGTGTCTCTGACAAGAGAGCAGGCACTGAGAAATCTCCACCTTGTGGACGGACACACACACACACACACACACACACACACACACACACACACACACCAGCATGAGACCTTTAGTACTTTAGCTATCATGATTGGCATTTTCCGACTGCAATGGTCAATGATCCTCCCACAACCCCCCTGTACTTTGATGAGTTCAGCAGTGGGGCTCTCTTCTTGTCCATGCCGGGAAGTTAGCAGCTGGCAGAACTGGGAGTTGCAATTGCCTGCTTCTCAGTTGCCCGTGGACTCGAATTGGTGAACTGCGATTTGGAAGATGCTTTGTTTCTCCCCAATTTTACCTGTGTCTCGGGACCATGGGGCACATAGCTTGGTGGCAGCTCAGGCTTGAATTCTGTAAATGGCTGGCTGCGCTCTGAGCCCTGCATTTGTCACATTATGTGGAAGGCCGACCCCTCCCCCCTGGGATGCTTCATTCTACCCCCCTGGCCTGGTTCCTACCTGGTCAGCCCTCAGGGTACCATCAACTTTGAATCCCTACCCCTCAGCTCCTCCAGGGGGACACCTGCTCTGCTGTCCCCTTGGCTTTTGCTCCAGAAAGGAAGCAGCCTCCTCTAAGCCCCTGAAGTCACCATTCTTTCTTCTTCACCTCTTGCCAGTTGCCATCATGGACTTCTGGAAGAACGGAGAGAGCAGAAGAATGAGGAGAAGAGGCTCTTCCATGCCTGCCTTGCTCACTCACTTCAAAGGCCTTGCTAATGAGCCTGCCTATTGTCTCAGCGCTGTCTATTCCTGTGTTTTGCAATCCACACACTAGGGAGATCACAGAGCACCAAGGAGCCTTTCAGACAGGACAGGACAACCCACCCTCCCCCTCGGAGGAATCAAAGGGGCAATTGTCAAGGGCAGATGACTGTGATCTGGCACATAGCTACTGGAACAGGTTCAGCGAAAGAAAGGAACATTCACTGCTGGGAGGAGGCTAGAAGGGGCTGTGGAATGCCATGCTCCAAGAAACTGTTAGGATAGCTTCACACAGATGGCGCAGCAGGAAATGGTATACATTCCTTTCCCAGGTCCATCCCTACACCCACCTTAGCCTGTAGGCCAACAGTTGCCCTTTGCTGGTGTGGAGGGGGGAGGAGGAATGGACATTTGGAAATATCTAGGGACATTTTTGGTGGTTGTTATCAGGGTGGGGTGTTCCTGGCTTATTATAGCTGGAGACCAGACATCTTGCTAAATATCCTACAGTGCACAGGACAGACAGCTTTCTATGGGTAAGAACTACCTGGTTCAAATTGCCACTTTTTTTCCTGCTAGGAGCCGAATCAGAATGTGTGTATGTGTGTCTGTGTGTGTGTGTGTGTGTGTGTGTGTGTGTGTGTGTGTGTGTGTGCATGTGTGTGTGTATGTCATCTAAGTAAAAATATATGATACACACACACACACACATACACACATATATGTCATTTATATGTCACTCAGCTCCTCATAGGGCTTCAGGAAATGTGTTGTTGCTGTTATAATCTTTGGGACATTTTACCTCATACCCATGATTTCCTTGCTCACCCCAGGTGTCTCCCATCCTACTAAAGGATCCTATGTGCCCTTTGTTTTTTTTCCCTTTTACTCTCTTAGTGATGAAGACTTCCTCTTCCATTTAATACTACATTTTCTTTCATCAGATTCTCCTGACAGAGAGCCAAGTTGTATTTACTGGCTGGACACCCGTGTTGAGGAGAACATTTGATCAAAGCAGAGGAGGTAAACAATGTACCACAAATGCTTAACCACAGCCTAGAGTGAGAGCTTCTGTAGCTCGCACTGTTACCCAGGATGCTTTTTTGTTTCTGGTGCTGATGTGACATAATGATATAATCTCTCTTCACAGAAGTCCACCATGGACAGGGAGATGATTTACTCTAATAAGAGTAGACTCTGGAGCAGAACAGAGGGAGCAGGTGATCACAATCATACCCTGATAGATAGGTGTGAACAATTACTTAAATTGGTGTCAAGGGCATAAACTGTAAGGGAGATGCATTGAGAAGCTCTGTATGAAGCTGGAGAATCACCCATCTTTGGTGGTTTGAATGACAATGTCCCCCACAGGCTCATCTGTTTGAATGCTTGGTCATTGGTTGTTGGAACTTTTTGGGAAGGATTAGGTGGCCTGTTTGGAGAAGGTGTGTCACTGGGGGTGAGCTTTGAGGTTTCAAAAGACTCACGCCATTCACAGTGTGCTCCTTCTCTGCCTTCTGCTCGTGGATCAAGGTGTGAGCTCTCCGCTCCTGTTCCAACCACTTATTGCTAAGCCTTCACTCT